GCGGAACGGTTGAAGCAGCCGGAGGCCCAGATCGCCAATGCAAGCCACAGCCGGTGTCCGTTGGAGTCCGTACCGGGGATAGAGGTGAGGTCGAAGTGGCCCATGGAGAGGACGTGGCGGCGGGCGGCGTGGCCCCCCTTCATAGCTCGCCAGATGGCGCTTTCGACGACNAGAGGACGTGGCGGCGGGCGGCGTGGCCCCCCTTCATGGCTCGCCAGATGGCGCTTTCCACGACCGCATTCTGCTTCGGGGTGTCGGGCGCGGTGTACTCGCGCCGGATGCCAGCGGCGTCGCAGAACGCGACGAAGGCAGCACTCGTGAACTCCCCCGCGTTGTCCATGCGGAAACACCCCAGAGGGCCGTTGCCGTTCAGGTCGGCGAGGAAACGCCGCGTGTACGTCAGGGTGTCGCTCTTGGCCCGCATGCCGTACGCCCGTTGCCACCGCAACGCACTGTCCACGAACATGATCAGGTAGCGGGAACCATCGAACGCCTCAGAGTACGGGCCGGTGATGTCGATGTGCACCTTGCCGAACGGTACCGCCGCGCGGGTGACTCCACGCCGCGGCACCGGGGCTCTCCTGCCCTTCGCCTCGATGCAGCCGACGCATGGCTGCAGTTCCCCCACCAATTGAACACCCTGCTGCTTGGCGGTTTCCCGCATCAAAAATTCATTCACGTGGCCGGTGGAAGCGTGGAACAAATTAATGTCGATGGTGGACGTGGGTTTTCCTACAGTGAACGCTGGACCNTGTCGATGGTGGACGTGGGTTTTCCCACAGTGAACGCTGGACCACCGGCGGCGATAATCGCCAAAGCATGGGAAAGGGAGGGGGGGACCTACATCTTGCTGCACACGGCACTCGGCAACGAAGTTTTTGAGCGCGTCCAACTCATCTTGCATCACAGCGAACGCAACGGGGGGCTTCACGGACTCACACACGCCTAATGGGTCGGGATAAAAGTCACCCGGTGGGACCGAGTCTTGTCCGTTCATCAAGCCTACATCCAAGAACATACTCATGTCCATCAAAGGCAAATTATCCTGGGACTCAAGGGGCATGATCTCTATCTCTCGCGACACATTCGGGTTCACGACTGAGGGGGACAGGACGTCGGATGAGGCGATGGCTGCGGCTAGGGCAGGCTGAAAATCTCGGATTGACGTAGGCACTACATCAACATCGATAGACGGGGAAACATCACTCTGAGGTACTACACCGGAAGTGGTGGACGGGATGCTCGAAGCCGAAGGTACAACACCGGCAGTACCGATGGACGGGAAGCTCGAAGTCGAAGGTACAACACCGGCAGTACCGATGGACGGGAAGCTCGTAGTCGAAAGTACAACACCGGCGGGACCGGTGGACGGGAAGCTGGAACTCGGACCGTACCCTGCACCCGATCCTGAAATCTGAGAAGGGGGAGGGGGGTTTTGGGCGAAAAGGCCAGTGCCAACGCCAGGCGGAGACGCTTGGCGGACAACGGGGGGAGGGACAACGGTAGAGGGGATTACATCACCGTCGCGGTACGAGGGGGGCAAGCGGGTGGCCGATAGAGAGCATCCGATATCCGAATATGCGAAACTAAGCCGACCGCCGAAAAGGTGCACACCCCTCTCATCCAAAATTATCCTGTGCTTTTTCTGCGTTTAGGAGAACAAGTTGAACGAAATTCGTGGCACTACGTACACGTCTGTCAATTGGACACAAAAATCCACTTCTTCCGAGCGGCCTCCTGCCATATGGAATGTCAGATTGACACTACCGACACACTCCACGCGCAAATGAGCACCATTGGCTACTCTGATGTATTCTTTGCCGGGGGGAACAGGCGAGATGTTGTACATTTTGGAGCTGTTACTCACAAAATGGTTGCTTGCACCGCTATCCGACCAAAATACCTCCCTACCAGGACTGTAATCGCAACTCTGGGCAGACAAAGCAAAACCAAGATCACCACATGCGACACTGCCTACATCACTCGAAACCGAAAGCGAACTCATCTCGNGTCGAAACCGAAAGCGAACTCAGCTCGTCAGCGGACACAAAGTGTGCCATCAGGGAGTGCAGATGCCCAGGCGGAAAAGCTGCTGCTCCGGGAGAAGGCGACTGGGGCGGGGCATGGGTGAAGTG